TGCTCTGGTATGGTTTGCTTCTTCTTTCCTAAAAAAAACTATCGCCCTTCTCTCTCCTCCACCTTTTTTTTTGTATTTATTGCTCTCTTGTAACTCATCTAATTTTCGACGCTTATATGACCTTATGTGTTTCAAGTGCCCTAAAAATCTTTCTAAAAGTTAAAACACACACACACACACACACACACACACACGCGCGCGCGCGCGCGCGCACGTTATAAACACATTTGCGTGCGTATTTTCCTTCCCCGTGATCCCAGACAGACAAACCTTGACCTTATGAACTTTGCCCCCCGAGGACAGCGCTGTCTGATCGGTGTCTGTCAAAAGAGATTAACTGTGAAACCTGGCGTGATCTGTCAAGATTCCTGTCCGGAAATTTAATTGATTTAAGAGATAAAAATCTTCGGAATTTTACGCGTGCACGAATTTTGAAGTTCGGAATCTTCATTGATTTAATCAAGAGATAAAACGCGAGTTTTACTTGTGCTCAATTTTTGAATTTTGAAATTTCCATTGATTTAGAATAGACACAATCTTTTGAGTTTAACTTGTGAATGATTTTAAAGTGCGAGCTGTTACACTACAATGCACCCAACTTACTGTATTTAATTTAGTAGTTGTAAAATGATGCATATTGTTGTATAATGATGAACGTCGTCCCTATCTCTCCTCCTTCTGTTATTTGTACTTAACTATCTAGTAACACCCCTAATCTTCGGCTGTGAAATGACCGTATTGTGTTACGAGTGCGGTAAAACGCCTACCAAAACTAAACTTCTTTTATTTGTTTGTTACCTCTCGTAATACCTCTAACCGTAGGCACCTATATGGCCTATTTGTGTTGCAGATGCCGAAGAACTCTTACTAAACTAAACTAAACAACATGCGAAGAACACGAACTGTTGCAAATAGAAAATGCACATTGTATATTATAATATGTCAGTACTGTTGACATCATGTGGGTGCACATTCTCGCCTCGGGGCGTGTGATCCGTCTCCTGGGTGGTGGTGCAAGGTCGACGTGACACTTGATGTGTGACGTGAACTGAGCTGTGAGGTCGGGTCGTCTCACGTGGTTGTTGGTGATGACGGGCTAACGAGGGAGTGGATGGATGGAGG